GGGGGTACGCCTTCGTAATGTTCAGCAGTACCGCACCCGGCCTGTTGTCTGTGTTCACTTCGTTTCGGCCCATCACTCTCCGCGCTTCCTTGTCTAATCGAATTAGGATCTGTGTGGAGTCGCATGTAGATCGTCCCTCTCTGAATCCGTTTTGGTTCTCTCCCAGGACTTCGATTGTTTCTGCCCATTCCCGGATTCTTGTGGCGTATATTCTTGCAACTATTCTGCTGATGAGGGGGAGGAGGCAAACTCCACGGTAGTTATCAAGCTTGTTTCGGTCTTTCTTGTGCAGTGGTATCACCCAGCCTTCTCTTGTGTCCTCTTGCCATTCCCGCGGGGGAATTTTGACGTGTCGGATGATCGTTTCATATACCTTCTTCTTGGATTTCTGTGTCAAGGCCTTTACAGCGGCCACCCTCACTCCGTCATTGCCTGCCGCGCCGTCTTTCATCTTCAGCAGCTGTTCTTCAAACTCGTCGTATGTGATTTCCCTTTCCATGTTGACAGCCGCTTGTGCTGATCGTGGATCGGTCCGCTTCGGGGTGCTCCTTGCAGTTTTCATGAGCTCCACAATATCTCGCTCATTGTGGTGTTCAGAGACTTTCATGAAGTGGCACTTGAACTCCCCCGGTGTGAAAAGTTCTTCTTGCACAGTTTGCAAGTCTCTCGTTCCGATCTTCCTCAGCGTCTTGTAGATCGTCCCGATTTCACCTTTCCTCTCAGCGGTTTCGGTCTCCTGCACTTTTTCTAACCACCACTCTTCTTCCCATTTTTTCTTGGCGAGCTTGTACAGTTTCCGAACTTGTTTCCTGAAAACGGTCCATCGGTGTTTTCCCTCTTGCGTGCTGGCTTCTTTAGCTCTCTTAATCAGCGTCGTGATCTTCTCTTTGAACCCTTTTATCTCGCGCTCATGTCGGTCAAGCCATGGGCTCAGGGCCACTTTCCCTTTCGTGCCACAGACACGTTTGCCTGCTTTGGCTATCCCCGCTATTAGTTCGGTCCATCTTCCCCCACTCTGTTTCTCCGTTTCTCTTTCAGTTTCAGATTGGAACTTGGCGCGCGTGATGGGGTCCTTGAGCGCTTCCCAGTTCGTGTTGTTCTTTTGGGCCCTTGGTTGTCTTCTCGGCGTTGGCCTCTGTAACCATCCCGTCAGAGATTTTGGCCAATGATCCGATAGGCTTCTGGCTGTGGTCACGGTGTTAACACTCTTCAGACATTTGCTGCGGTTTTTCTGTCTGACGAGGAAGCCGTCAATCTCATGCCATGAATTTCGTGACGGACATTGCCAAGTACCTCTGAGGTTGTGTTCAAAAAAAGAGTTCCCCCATGCTAGTCCCTGCTCATGGCACCAGTTTAAGAGGTCGTGTCCGGCGGGGTTCGTTCGACCTAGGCCATGTGGACCAGCTGCTTGGTCCTCTTCCCGATCTGTTGTCTCGCCGATCGACGCGTTGAAATCTCCACCGATGATAAGATCATTTTGTTGTTTGCACTGCATGATCTGGGAGTTCAGTTCTTCTCTGTACGCACTAATGACCGCTAAGTCCCCGCTCCAAAGAGGCTGGTATGTGGCAATTAGCGTAACGTTGTTGACTGTGACTGCCGTGCTCCGGTTGCCTTGCGAGGCTCTGTTGCCTTGTTTGCGCCAATCCGTAGCCCAGGAGTCTCTGAGAAACACATCACTTAGGCATCATTTGGACATCGATAAGTTTCCTCTGTGTCTGTGGAATACTTCAAAATTCCAGGCACTGGATAGGCTTCGTAGGCACTGTCAACCGGTTCTTCTTGAAGTTTTCATTTAAAGTTCTAAGCAAATTGGTCATTCCATCTTCATGATCAAACTGTTCAAGTGAAACTGTCGGCACTTCTCTGTACTTTCCTATCATAGATAAAGCAACGGCTAAAGCTTGTTCTTTCTGCTTTCTCTTCAATTATAAGTATCCAAATTTCCACTTTAGCACGCCAGTTGTAATCAACTGCGTCCGCAAGAATTGGAGGGTTTTGGTAAGAGGTCAGTTCAACTACTTCCTGCTACCATTTGTTGAATTTATTTGCAATATATTAAATTAAGGCACAACGGACAATGCCATATCTGAAATAAAGATAAACATAGTTTTAATTAATTACATCCGTTACAAGACCTCAGCTAAAAGACCTAACCCAGACCTTAAATCCATAATTTGAAAACCTCGCCACCTGGCTAACAAACAGAAATCTATCACTCTCAAAAGATAAATCTACTACATCTATCTTTTCAACTTGAATTCAACCTAAAACCAAATGTCATTGTCGACGGCTCCCAGCTACCTGCCAACCGAAACCCATAAATTCTAGGCGTTACATTCGACAACCAACTTAACTTAAACGAACACTGTAATAAGGTCTGTGATAAGCTTGCCGGCACTAATTGGGGTTGCTCCAAAGAAACACTCACTGTTACTTACAAGGCAATTGGGAGGAGTCTACTGAACTACGCATCATCACCCATTTGGACCCTAACCTACACAGTAACTCGACACTAACCTACACACTAACTGGCAACGTCTGCAAAACAATGCACAAAGTTAAGCAAAACAATGCTCAAAGTTAAACCAAAATAATGCACAAGAACAACCAGTAGCTGCGTAAAAATGAGCTCTATCACGCATTAACACGTAGCTGTCCTTTGATTTTCTTGTAAGTTCGATTCAGTTTCATTTGTAAAAAGGACGGAAAATTTTGTTGTCGAATAACAAAAGTTCATATGACGCGATAATTATGAGTGATTCTTAGTTTCAAAAATTGATGAAATTTGGTTTTGAAAATTCCCAGATAAATATAATTAATGAAAATATTTATCCGTTTTCTCCAATTGGGTTTGTTTTTATCACAAAACTGTCAATGAATAAAGATTTAGAATTTGTAAGAGCTCAAAGATGATATATATTATTCGGAAACTTTAAGGTAGAAATTGTAAATGGTCTTAAAGGTAAAAGTCCTAAGCGTAAGACGGCATGTTTTCACGCGACGTCAGTGTTTGTTTAATATGAAGAATCAAGGACGCGATTTAAGCTCTGGGGAATAACCTACAACTATTTGGTTTACTCATTCAACAATTTTAGCTTGGGCTGCATTCAGTTGATTTAAGTTTCTGTACGTCCTCTCTGATAATTACACTCGACTTGATTGAAAGTGGGAAAAAAGAAGGTATTACCGCCTAGCAGCGGACCTATTGATTTGGTTAATTTTTGCCACCAAGAACATTTTACTTATATTTATATTAATATTAGCCTGAGGCATTTATGACTGCGATCTGGAATTGAACAACACTATTTAAAAAAATCGTTTTGGGCTAATACTGGAATTGACTGAAGATTATGGCGTTGACTTTTGACAAGTTAGACTAAATAACAACAGAATTGGGAAAAAAAGTCTGAAAAGAACACAACAGAAAAAAGAGAGACAAAAACTTGATACAATTCTCGATCGAACAAGAACTGCTCAGAAATTTGCAGCAATAAAACTTACTAGCAAAGACAAGAAAACATTATTTTATTTTATTTATATTCCGCTTAATTATATTATAATCTCATTGTGTACTTCCCAAATTAATAAAAAGTATACTATTTAATCGGGACTCAATTTTTATTAATCTTGATTGGAAACTCATAACAGTAAAATCAAATTGTAATTCCGCATCAGAAAATATTCCTGAAAAATATTACCTCTAATTAAAAAAATTAGGCTACAAAGTCTAGTGGCATTTGGTCACACTGAAAGATAGGTCTTAAAAGATGGAGCAAAGTTTTCATTTAAATTAGTTGTTATTCTAAATTCCATGAACAAAGAATTTGTTTTTCAACCTAAGTTGGAAATAAAAGTGCTATTTTTGGCGGCTTTTTTGAATCGGTAGGCTGCGGTAGCAGTATAGTTTGATATGTGCTTTGACCTTTGATTAGTAAAAAGCTAACACAGCTGATGCATTTTTAATTCCTTAAATGAACCGAAAAAAGTTCTTTGTTTCAAACAGCAGTACAATGATAAAAAGCTCGATTTCAGAAAGTTTTGAAAAGCATAATTTATACAGGATTTGGCTTTATGCTTTCCAATTTAATGCATGCAAAATTTTGTCTTTTCTGTATTTGGTGCTACTTTTGCCACATCAAATTGGTAATTTATTAGCATATGTAGCTGTGTTATTGGTGTCTAGTTTTTGGGAAATTTAAGCGTCCGTGGCTTAGTGGTTAGTGCGTGAGACTCAAATTTGCTAGATCGCAGATTCGAAGCGGAGACATAGCCGAGTTTTTGCTTATTCGAGGCTGATTTCTACTTATTCTTTTTTTTTCATTTGATAGAGCTGCTTTTGTTCTCGCAAGTGTTTGCGAAGCGCAGCTTCGCCTCAGTGTGAAAATTGTTCAGCAAACCTCGGCAAAAGTTCAATTCAATTCTTTGCTTAAAAAGCAAACTCAACTATCGAACAGCAAACGTGTAGATGTCACGAAAGACGTGATCGAGTTCTAATTTCGAAAGTGGATTTCAACTTTTAGATTTCTCAGCGAAATAAAGTTTTAAAATATTGATTTGGGCTATTGTTTTGCTATGTTTGCGTGAAAGGAATTTGCCCTTTCTAGCAAGTTGGAAATAGCCTTTGTTGCTTTAGTGTTTTTGGTTTTGTTTTTCTTATTCAAAAACAATAGTTCGCACGATGTACGATGGTTGTCCAGCTATCATTAGTAGTATTCGAAATCTACAGACGGCGTCACGAAAATTCAATATTTATCTGCAAAAAAGTCGGAACAATAAACGTTAGTTTGGCAGTACATAAAATCATGTTAGAATACTAAGGGTCAAAGTGCATTTAGTTCATTGTGAAATCATCTAATCTCAGATAAATATTTGTAGAACAATTCGTGGCAATTTTGTCGAAGAATTCGAATTTTGCAAAAAACAAAAGGTTTCATGTGAATGAATTGGGCCTGCAAATTGAGTTTGATGCGAAATTTTGATAATATGATTCTTTTCAGGTGAACAAAATAACTTTCACGGGATCCACAGAAGTGGGCAAACTGATCATGAAAGCCTCGGGCGACTCCAACTTGAAACGAGTGACACTTGAACTGGGCGGTAAAAGTCCCAACATCATTTTTTCCGATTATGACAATTTAGAATACGCAGCTAGTGTAGCGCAGGAAGCAGCTATGACGAACATGGGTCAATGTTGTTGTGCGGGAACGCGGACTTTCGTCCAAGAAGGAATTTATGATAAATTTGTGGAAATTTCGAAGATGTTGGCCGAAACCAGAACTGTGGGGAGTCCAATGAACGATGACTCTCAGCATGGACCTCAGATTGACAGCGAGCAGAAAGGGAAGATTCTCGACTTGATTGAAAGTGGGAAGAAAGAGGGAGCCAAGGTTTGATTTGTATAAGTTGTTATTCTAAACTATATGCACAAAGAAACTATTCAGTGATGAACAAACTTTAAGGCAAACAAATTCGTGAAAAAGTAATGATATCTTTTCAAATTACAAAATGATGATCAAGAAAAGTTTCCTGAGGATAATACGTTCATAGAATCTCAGAACCGCCCTAAATTTAGGTGTTCCAGTTGCATGCCAGGAGTAGGCGACCGACTCGGCCCCCATTCTGGTTGAAAAGTTCTATGTCAAAACATTGCAAGAAAAGCTTGTAATGGCATTTTCCTTTTAAAAAAATCGGCTGCGCTGCTGAAACTGTTTGCCAAATTATCAAAGTAGATTATCGAATTTTTACCCTTAGTAGCCTTTTAACTTTTATAGTTGAGGTAAGTCTAATTTGAGAAAGTGCCACTGGTTAGTCAAGGCTGAGATTGTGAGTTTGATAAGCAGTTAGTCTTTTGCTGTCTTTTCAGGTTGTGTTCGGTGGCAAATCTATGGATCAGTCTGGATTTTGGGTGGAGCCAACTGTGTTTGCAGATGTGGAGGACGGAATGAGGATAGCCAAGGAGGAGATATTCGGACCAGTCCAGTCCATATTCAAGTTCAAGACCCTGGACGAAGTGGTAAAGAGGGCCAATGACACTCAATACGGACTGGGTGGTGCTGTTTTTACGAAAGATATTGACAAGGTGAAACACTCAATTCGCAAAAATGACGAGTTCTTAAATGCTATAATTTGGACTGTTTTCATGAGGATATTGGTTACCTTTTATCAATTGAATTTGTACTGTTGTATTGACTGATAGATGTAAAAGACAATCTTATTGATTGAGTGTTATTGAACGACGTGAGGACGCTTACTTAGGTCGTATGTTTTTCTTTCAGGAAAATCTTTCAAGTTTTCCACGCATAAATTTATTCGGTTTTCAATTGAAATTGATTTGCTAAAAGGAAGGCAAATTTGGTGCCGGACATCAAGCCGACGGGACTTTTAGCCGAATCGTAAAATTAGGGACTTCAAGCCGAATAGTTCATTAAAAAGTCGTGAAATATGATTAATTTGAAAACTTTTTGAAGAACTTCCGAATTTCATGATCTTTCTTCACTGGTTATTGGCGTTTTCATAAAATTTAAGCCTCCAAATGATGTTTAGAAAAGTTGAAAAGTAAAACATGGTTGCAGGCATTTTTCATGTTTATAATTTATGCATTTAAAAAACCTGCTGATGTTATTAATGGATGCCAAACAGAAGTGGTGCATTGGAATGAATAACGCTTATTATGGACTAAACATGCCCAAATTTTTGAAAAGCAACGTTTTACAGATGATAAAATAGTGTTTTGAGGTGCTTGTAAAATTTTAATTTCGGCTTAAAGTCCCGTCGGCCTGTTGTCCTAGACCCGGCAAATTAACTTCCTGTAACAAATTGCAAGTGGTGCTGAAGATGTGAAAACTTTTGTTTCAAATTTCAAGATTTTATGGTGGAAAAAATTGTATTGATCCAGTTTTCTCAAATAAGATAAGTTTTATAAAGATTCGGTAATGTAGTGAAGACTCTTATATAGGTCGTGGTGTTTTTTTTTCAGCTAAAAGCCTTAAAATTTGTTCACGCTTAAATTTCAATTTTCACTTAAGTCTTCTCAAGTTAAGCTATTTTTATCAAAAAGGTGTCAATCATAATTTATTTTTGAAATTCAAAGAGCTTTAAGACCATATAGTATTTATTTTGAAGTTAAAAAAACACGTCAGTTTTTTTCTGTTTCCCTTGCGTTCATTGCCTTTTTTCCAACTGGCTGTTGGCTATATTCAAAACATTTCAAGGTTCTTTTTTTGCTTTAAAACTGTTCAAAAATAAGACTTTACAAACTAGCTGATGGCTGTGTTAATAAAGTTTCTTATTGTTGGAAATATCAAATTGCGGTAGAAAAAAGTGGTCCAAAAGTGCCATATTTGGTGCCGATTTTGACCTTTTTGTCCTTCTTTTCTTTTCTGAGAGCAAGTGTTCTTGGCTTAAATTTAGTTGTGGTAACATTTTTGTTTTCGTCGAAGTGCCGGCCCCAGTAAAAAAATTCTGAGCGCTTTTTAACGCTTATGAAGGTGATTCAATTCGTTCTCTCCCAAATGTACATCAGGAAGACGAACGTAAATAGTTTTTTTTGACTTGTTCGCTTCCTTTTCCTGTTCTATCCACTTGCTTGCTAAGATATGTTAATCCACTTGCTTGCTAAGATATGTTAGTGTGTATTGCAAGTTTCTGCGCGTTCGCTTGATGATTTATATTAATAGTGAAATATTTAGGCGTACACTGTGGCTAGCAGCATCGATGCTGGAACTGTATGGATTAACTGCTACAATGCAGGAGAAGCAAACACACCCTTTGGTGGTTTCAAGATGTCCGGAATAGGACGAGAATACGGAGAAGAGTCTCTGAACAATTACTTGGAAACAAAAACTGTCATTTTGAAAGTGCCCCAGAAGATTAACTGAGTTGCACGTAGACACGTATCATTGAAACTTTATCCAAATAGTGAAACTCAAACTATATGACATATTGATTTAAAGCAGAAAAAGGTGTGTGCTACCTTTGAAATGTATCATGATGGAATCATTCTTAATTGCTATGAAGAATCAGCTCTTTACGTTTCTTCTTCGATAGTCAGGATAATCATCTGTTTAAGGGTGGTCACGGAGAAGGCTAATAAATCTATACGCGACTTTCAATGAGTTTTGAGAAGCATCATTACGTTAAGGTAGGCATAATTTAAGCGGCAAATTTCTCACATTGATTGAATGTGTTGCCTACGAATTGAGATTTTAAAGATCGACTCGAGTCTCGAGTAGCAGCAAAAACTTTTGTCTAGGTCCTTTCGGATTTTAATTGAGAAATCGGTGACGTACTGTGATCTCTGCTCGTTGCCTGAGATCAAAGCAGGCAATCACAGCCGAAAAAAAACGTACCACCATCCAAAAAGTCATTTCGGCACTATTTGAGGGCAATCAATTCACGTCGACTAATCCAATCTTAAATAGTAAATTTTGATTGCAGTACACTCTCTGAAAAACTTCAATTTTGTTACTATTGGGACCAGATTTATTTGCAAAGGAATCATGTGGGCGAATTTGTTGGTGCGTAACGTGAGAGATTGATGTCTTACCTTATCATCGTAAGTTTATAGATCTGATTACTAAATTTTTTTAACTCTTTGGAATGAATGGTTGAACTTCAGAGGTGAACCGCATCCCTTTCACCAACATGAATTCATTTCAAAAATGAAAGTTTCATTTTTGAAATGAATTCATGTTAGTGAAAGGGATGTGGTTCACCTCTGAGTCAATTTTTCTAAAATGCCCAAAAAGGATATCTGGCACATTTTCCCAAAAGTGTACGTGAAGTCATGTTTCGGTGAAGTTTTTTTTCCAGTCGATGAATGAAGGAACACGCTCAAAATTTGTTCTGGCTAAAATTAGCCTTATCGCTGTTTGGCTTTCGATTTCGCTTGCACTATACTTTTTTCCGTAAATACTAGACTTTTTCCAAAAACTTTGTTCACCGGACTCATCTGTAGTGTAGTTCTGGACTCATCTCTATTGGTACCTTGTTTCATAACAATTTATAATTCTTAGCGTTCCCGGCCAACTTAGCCTGGAAGTAACAAATTCGCCTGGTACGGCAAAGTACCTGGGTTGGAATCTGACCAGACATTGTTTTTTTTTCAAACGGGAAATTTTCCATTTCAAAAAAAATATCGGCCTATTATATGTCTGCTTATGTTTTGTCGACTTAGTTGCCAAATCGTTGAGTTTTTTTTGCTATGCGAAATTTACATTGCAGTTGCTTTTAGTGTGTTAATTTATTTCTGCTGGCTGTTTGTAATTTCTTGATTTGTATCATTTTTTGGCTGAATTTTTTTTCTGTAGAAATGAATTGGGTTATATTTTATCGGCTTCGTTAACTAGCATTGAACCTTTTCAAAAGAAAGGCAGTTTTTATTCTCACATTTTGACCGCGCAATTTGTTAAAATCTTAATGGAAATTATAGTTTACATGACGACAGTTTTTGTTGGCATTTTTGTTTTTCTTTTCCTTCTTTCGGCTAAATTGGTTTCGGTCTATATTATATCAATTTAGTGGCTTCATTTTGCATTTGTCGACCAGCGAAAAAGTTGTGTGAAAAGTTCTTCTTGCACAGTTTGCAAGTCTCTCGTTCCGATCTTCCTCAGCGTCTTGTAGATCGTCCCGATTTCACCTTTCCTCTCAGCGGTTTCGGTCTCCTGCACTTTTTCTAACCACCACTCTTCTTCCCATTTTTTCTTTGCGAGCTTGTACAGTTTCCGAACTTGTTTCCTGAAAACGGTCCACCGGTGTTTTCCCTCTTGCGTGCTGGCTTCTTTAGCTCTCTTAATCAGCGTCGTGATCTTCTCTTTGAACCCTTTTATCTCGCGCTCATGTCGGTCAAGCCATGGGCTCAGGGCCACTTTCCCTTTCGTGCCACAGACACGTTTGCCTGCTTTGGCTATCCCCGCTATTAGTTCGGTCCATCTTCCCCCACTCTGTTTCTCCGTTTCTCTTTCAGTTTCAGATTGGAACTTGGCGCGCGTGATGGGGTCCTTGAGCGCTTCCCAGTTCGTGTTGTTCTTTTGGGCCCTTGGTTGTCTTCTCGGCGTTGGCCTCTGTAACCATCCCGTCAGAGATTTTGGCCAATGATCCGATAGGCTTCTGGCTGTGGTCACGGTGTTAACACTCTTCAGACATTTGCTGCGGTTTTTCTGTCTGACGAGGAAGCCGTCAATCTCATGCCATGAATTTCGTGACGGACATTGCCAAGTACCTCTGAGGTTGTGTTCAAAAAAAGAGTTCCCCCATGCTAGTCCCTGCTCATGGCACCAGTTTAAGAGGTCGTGTCCGGCGGGGTTCGTTCGACCTAGGCCATGTGGACCAGCTGCTTGGTCCTCTTCCCGATCTGTTGTCTCGCCGATCGACGCGTTGAAATCTCCACCGATGATAAGATCATTTTGTTGTTTGCACTGCATGATCTGGGAGTTCAGTTCTTCTCTGTACGCACTAATGACCGCTAAGTCCCCGCTCCAAAGAGGCTGGTATGTGGCAATTAGCGTAACGTTGTTGACTGTGACTGCCGTGCTCCGGTTGCCTTGCGAGGCTCTGTTGCCTTGTTTGCGCCAATCCGTAGCCCAGGAGTCTCTGAGAAACACATCACTTAGGCATCATTTGGACATCGATAAGTTTCCTCTGTGTCTGTGGAATACTTCAAAATTCCAGGCACTGGATAGGCTTCGTAGGCACTGTCAACCGGTTCTTCTTGAAGTTTTCATTTAAAGTTCTAAGCAAATTGGTCATTCCATCTTCATGATCAAACTGTTCAAGTGAAACTGTCGGCACTTCTCTGTACTTTCCTATCATAGATAAAGCAACGGCTAAAGCTTGTTCTTTCTGCTTTCTCTTCAATTATAAGTATCCAAATTTCCACTTTAGCACGCCAGTTGTAATCAACTGCGTCCGCAAGAATTGGAGGGTTTTGGTAAGAGGTCAGTTCAACTACTTCCTGCTACCATTTGTTGAATTTATTTGCAATATATTAAATTAAGGCACAACGGACAATGCCATATCTGAAATAAAGATAAACATAGTTTTAATTAATTACATCCGTTACAAGACCTCAGCTAAAAGACCTAACCCAGACCTTAAATCCATAATTTGAAAACCTCGCCACCTGGCTAACAAACAGAAATCTATCACTCTCAAAAGATAAATCTACTACATCTATCTTTTCAACTTGAATTCAACCTAAAACCAAATGTCATTGTCGACGGCTCCCAGCTACCTGCCAACCGAAACCCATAAATTCTAGGCGTTACATTCGACAACCAACTTAACTTAAACGAACACTGTAATAAGGTCTGTGATAAGCTTGCCGGCACTAATTGGGGTTGCTCCAAAGAAACACTCACTGTTACTTACAAGGCAATTGGGAGGAGTCTACTGAACTACGCATCATCACCCATTTGGACCCTAACCTACACAGTAACTCGACACTAACCTACACACTAACTGGCAACGTCTGCAAAACAATGCACAAAGTTAAGCAAAACAATGCTCAAAGTTAAACCAAAATAATGCACAAGAACAACCAGTAGCTGCGTAAAAATGAGCGACATCACGCATTAACACGTAGCTGTCCTTTGATTTTCTTGTAAGTTCGATTCAGTTTCATTTGTAAAAAGGACGGAAAATTTTGTTGTCGAATAACAAAAGTTCATATGACGCGATAATTATGAGTGATTCTTAGTTTCAAAAATTGATGAAATTTGGTTTTGAAAATTCCCAGATAAATATAATTAATGAAAATATTTATCCGTTTTCTCCAATTGGGTTTGTTTTTATCACAAAACTGTCAATGAATAAAGATTTAGAATTTGTAAGAGCTCAAAGATGATATATATTATTCGGAAACTTTAAGGTAGAAATTGTAAATGGTCTTAAAGGTAAAAGTCCTAAGCGTAAGACGGCATGTTTTCACGCGACGTCAGTGTTTGTTTAATATGAAGAATCAAGGACGCGATTTAAGCTCTGGGGAATAACCTACAACTATTTGGTTTACTCATTCAACAATTTTAGCTTGGGCTGCATTCAGTTGATTTAAGTTTCTGTACGTCCTCTCTGATAATTACACTCGACTTGATTGAAAGTGGGAAAAAAGAAGGTATTACCGCCTAGCAGCGGACCTATTGATTTGGTTAATTTTTGCCACCAAGAACATTTTACTTATATTTATATTAATATTAGCCTGAGGCATTTATGACTGCGATCTGGAATTGAACAACACTATTTAAAAAAATCGTTTTGGGCTAATACTGGAATTGACTGAAGATTATGGCGTTGACTTTTGACAAGTTAGACTAAATAACAACAGAATTGGGAAAAAAAGTCTGAAAAGAACACAACAGAAAAAAGAGAGACAAAAACTTGATACAATTCTCGATCGAACAAGAACTGCTCAGAAATTTGCAGCAATAAAACTTACTAGCAAAGACAAGAAAACATTATTTTATTTTATTTATATTCCGCTTAATTATATTATAATCTCATTGTGTACTTCCCAAATTAATAAAAAGTATACTATTTAATCGGGACTCAATTTTTATTAATCTTGATTGGAAACTCATAACAGTAAAATCAAATTGTAATTCCGCATCAGAAAATATTCCTGAAAAATATTACCTCTAATTAAAAAAATTAGGCTACAAAGTCTAGTGGCATTTGGTCACACTGAAAGATAGGTCTTAAAAGATGGAGCAAAGTTTTCATTTAAATTAGTTGTTATTCTAAATTCCATGAACAAAGAATTTGTTTTTCAACCTAAGTTGGAAATAAAAGTGCTATTTTTGGCGGCTTTTTTGAATCGGTAGGCTGCGGTAGCAGTATAGTTTGATATGTGCTTTGACCTTTGATTAGTAAAAAGCTAACACAGCTGATGCATTTTTAATTCCTTAAATGAACCGAAAAAAGTTCTTTGTTTCAAACAGCAGTACAATGATAAAAAGCTCGATTTCAGAAAGTTTTGAAAAGCATAATTTATACAGGATTTGGCTTTATGCTTTCCAATTTAATGCATGCAAAATTTTGTCTTTTCTGTATTTGGTGCTACTTTTGCCACATCAAATTGGTAATTTATTAGCATATGTAGCTGTGTTATTGGTGTCTAGTTTTTGGGAAATTTAAGCGTCCGTGGCTTAGTGGTTAGTGCGTGAGACTCAAATTTGCTAGATCGCAGATTCGAAGCGGAGACATAGCCGAGTTTTTGCTTATTCGAGGCTGATTTCTACTTATTCTTTTTTTTTCATTTGATAGAGCTGCTTTTGTTCTCGCAAGTGTTTGCGAAGCGCAGCTTCGCCTCAGTGTGAAAATTGTTCAGCAAACCTCGGCAAAAGTTCAATTCAATTCTTTGCTTAAAAAGCAAACTCAACTATCGAACAGCAAACGTGTAGATGTCACGAAAGACGTGATCGAGTTCTAATTTCGAAAGTGGATTTCAACTTTTAGATTTCTCAGCGAAATAAAGTTTTAAAATATTGATTTGGGCTATTGTTTTGCTATGTTTGCGTGAAAGGAATTTGCCCTTTCTAGCAAGTTGGAAATAGCCTTTGTTGCTTTAGTGTTTTTGGTTTTGTTTTTCTTATTCAAAAACAATAGTTCGCACGATGTACGATGGTTGTCCAGCTATCATTAGTAGTATTCGAAATCTACAGACGGCGTCACGAAAATTCAATATTTATCTGCAAAAAAGTCGGAACAATAAACGTTAGTTTGGCAGTACATAAAATCATGTTAGAATACTAAGGGTCAAAGTGCATTTAGTTCATTGTGAAATCATCTAATCTCAGATAAATATTTGTAGAACAATTCGTGGCAATTTTGTCGAAGAATTCGAATTTTGCAAAAAACAAAAGGTTTCATGTGAATGAATTGGGCCTGCAAATTGAGTTTGATGCGAAATTTTGATAATATGATTCTTTTCAGGTGAACAAAATAACTTTCACGGGATCCACAGAAGTGGGCAAACTGATCATGAAAGCCTCGGGCGACTCCAACTTGAAACGAGTGACACTTGAACTGGGCGGTAAAAGTCCCAACATCATTTTTTCCGATTATGACAATTTAGAATACGCAGCTAGTGTAGCGCAGGAAGCAGCTATGACGAACATGGGTCAATGTTGTTGTGCGGGAACGCGGACTTTCGTCCAAGAAGGAATTTATGATAAATTTGTGGAAATTTCGAAGATGTTGGCCGAAACCAGAACTGTGGGGAGTCCAATGAACGATGACTCTCAGCATGGACCTCAGATTGACAGCGAGCAGAAAGGGAAGATTCTCGACTTGATTGAAAGTGGGAAGAAAGAGGGAGCCAAGGTTTGATTTGTATAAGTTGTTATTCTAAACTATATGCACAAAGAAACTATTCAGTGATGAACAAACTTTAAGGCAAACAAATTCGTGAAAAAGTAATGATATCTTTTCAAATTACAAAATGATGATCAAGAAAAGTTTCCTGAGGATAATACGTTCATAGAATCTCAGAACCGCCCTAAATTTAGGTGTTCCAGTTGCATGCCAGGAGTAGGCGACCGACTCGGCCCCCATTCTGGTTGAAAAGTTCTATGTCAAAACATTGCAAGAAAAGCTTGTAATGGCATTTTCCTTTTAAAAAAATCGGCTGCGCTGCTGAAACTGTTTGCCAAATTATCAAAGTAGATTATCGAATTTTTACCCTTAGTAGCCTTTTAACTTTTATAGTTGAGGTAAGTCTAATTTGAGAAAGTGCCACTGGTTAGTCAAGGCTGAGATTGTGAGTTTGATAAGCAGTTAGTCTTTTGCTGTCTTTTCAGGTTGTGTTCGGTGGCAAATCTATGGATCAGTCTGGATTTTGGGTGGAGCCAACTGTGTTTGCAGATGTGGAGGACGGAATGAGGATAGCCAAGGAGGAGATATTCGGACCAGTCCAGTCCATATTCAAGTTCAAGACCCTGGACGAAGTGGTAAAGAGGGCCAATGACACTCAATACGGACTGGGTGGTGCTGTTTTTACGAAAGATATTGACAAGGTGAAACACTCAATTCGCAAAAATGACGAGTTCTTAAATGCTATAATTTGGACTGTTTTCATGAGGATATTGGTTACCTTTTATCAATTGAATTTGTACTGTTGTATTGACTGATAGATGTAAAAGACAATCTTATTGATTGAGTGTTATTGAACGACGTGAGGACGCTTACTTAGGTCGTATGTTTTTCTTTCAGGAAAATCTTTCAAGTTTTCCACGCATAAATTTATTCGGTTTTCAATTGAAATTGATTTGCTAAAAGGAAGGCAAATTTGGTGCCGGACATCAAGCCGACGGGACTTTTAGCCGAATCGTAAAATTAGGGACTTCAAGCCGAATAGTTCATTAAAAAGTCGTGAAATATGATTAATTTGAAAACTTTTTGAAGAACTTCCGAATTTCATGATCTTTCTTCACTGGTTATTGGCGTTTTCATAAAATTTAAGCCTCCAAATGATGTTTAGAAAAGTTGAAAAGTAAAACATGGTTGCAGGCATTTTTCATGTTTATAATTTATGCATTTAAAAAACCTGCTGATGTTATTAATGGATGCCAAACAGAAGTGGTGCATTGGAATGAATAACGCTTATTATGGACTAAACATGCCCAAATTTTTGAAAAGCAACGTTTTACAGATGATAAAATAGTGTTTTGAGGTGCTTGTAAAATTTTAATTTCGGCTTAAAGTCCCGTCGGCCTGTTGTCCTAGACCCGGCAAATTAACTTCCTGTAACAAATTGCAAGTGGTGCTGAAGATGTGAAAACTTTTGTTTCAAATTTCAAGATTTTATGGTGGAAAAAATTGTATTGATCCAGTTTTCTCAAATAAGATAAGTTTTATAAAGATTCGGTAATGTAGTGAAGACTCTTATATAGGTCGTGGTGTTTTTTTTCAGCTAAAAGCCTTAAAATTTGTTCACGCTTAAATTTCAATTTTCACTTAAGTCTTCTCAAGTTAAGCTATTTTTATCAAAAAGGTGTCAATCATAATTTATTTTTGAAATTCAAAGAGCTTTAAGACCATATAGTATTTATTTTGAAGTTAAAAAAACACGTCAGCTTTTTTCTGTTTCCCTTGCGTTCATTGCCTTTTTTCCAACTGGCTGTTGGCTATATTCAAAACATTTCAAGGTTCTTTTTTGCTTTAAAACTGTTCAAAAATAAGACTTTACAAACTAGCTGATGGCTGTGTTAATAAAGTTTCTTATTGTTGGAAATATCAAATTGCGGTAGAAAAAAGTGGTCCAAAAGTGCCATATTTGGCGCCGATTTTGACCTTTTTGTCCTTCTTTTCTTTTCTGAGAGCAAGTGTTCTTGGCTTAAATTTAGTTGTGGTAACATTTTTGTTTTCGTCGAAGTGCCGGCCCCAGTAAAAAAATTCTGAGCGCTTTTTAACGCTTATGAAGGTGATTCAATTCGTTCTCTCCCAAATGTACATCAGGAAGACGAACGTAAATAGTTTTTTTTGACTTGTTCGCTTCCTTTTCCTGTTCTATCCACTTGCTTGCTAAGATATGTTAATCCACTTGCTTGCTAAGATATGTTAGTGTGTATTGCAAGTTTCTGCGCGTTCGCTTGATGATTTATATTAATAGTGAAATATTTAGGCGTACACTGTGGCTAGCAGCATCGATGCTGGAACTGTATTGATTAACTGCTACAATGCAGGAGAAGCAAACACACCCTTTGGTGGTTTCAAGATGTCCGGAATAGGACGAGAATACGGAGAAGAGTCTCTGAACAATTACTTGGAAACAAAAACTGTCATTTTGAAAGTGCCCCAGAAGATTAACTGAGTTGCACGTAGACACGTATCATTGAAACTTTATCCAAATAGTGAAACTCAAACTATATGACATATTGATTTAAAGCAGAAAAAGGTGTGTGCTACCTTTGAAATGTATCATGATGGAATCATTCTTAATTGCTATGAAGAATCAGCTCTTTACGTTTCTTCTTCGATAGTCAGGATAATCATCTGTTTAAGGGTGGTCACGGAGAAGGCTAATAAATCTATACGCGACTTTCAATGAGTTTTGAGAAGCATCATTACGTTAAGGTAGGCATAATTTAAGCGGCAAATTTCTCACATTGATTGAATGTGTTGCCTACGAATTGAGATTTTAAAGATCGACTCGAGTCTCGAGTAGCAGCAAAAACTTTTGTCTAGGTCCTTTCGGATTTTAATTGAGAAATCGGTGACGTACTGTGATCTCTGCTCGTTGCCTGAGATCAAAGCAGGCAATCACAGCCGAAAAAAAACGTACCACCATCCAAAAAGTCATTTCGGCACTATTTGAGGGCAATCAATTCACGTCGACTAATCCAATCTTAAATAGTAAATTTTGATTGCAGTACACTCTCTGAAAAACTTCAATTTTGTTACTATTGGGACCAGATTTATTTGCAAAGGAATCATGTGGGCGAATTTGTTGGTGCGTAACGTGAGAGATTGATGTCTTACCTTATCATCGTAAGTTTATAGATCTGATTACTAAATTTTTTTAACTCTTTGGAATGAATGGTTGAACTTCAGAGGTGAACCGCATCCCTTTCACCAACATGAATTCATTTCAAAAATGAAAGTTTCATTTTTGAAATGAATTCATGTTAGTGAAAGGGATGTGGTTCACCTCTGAGTCAATTTTTCTAAAATGCCCAAAAAGGATATCTGGCACATTTTCCCAAAAGTGTACGTGAAGTCATGTTTCGGTGAAGTTTTTTTTCCAGTCGATGAATGAAGGAACACGCTCAAAATTTGTTCTGGCTAAAATTAGCCTTATCGCTGTTTGGCTTTCGATTTCGCTTGCACTATACTTTTTTCCGTAAATACTAGACATTTTCCAAAAACTTTGTTCACCGGACTCATCTGTAGTGTAGTTCTGGACTCATCTCTATTGGTACCTTGTTTCATAACAATTTATAATTCTTAGCGTTCCCGGCCAACTTAGCCTGGAAGTAACAAATTCGCCTGGTACGGCAAAGTACCTGGGTTGGAATCTGACCAGACATTGTTTTTTTTTCAAACGGGAAATTTTCCATTTCAAAAAAAATATCGGCCTATTATATGTCTGCTTATGTTTTGTCGACTTAGTTGCCAAATCGTTGAGTTTTTTTTGCTATGCGAAATTTACATTGCAGTTGCTTTTAGTGTGTTAATTTATTTCTGCTGGCTGTTTGTAATTTCTTGATTTGTATCATTTTTTGGCTGAATTTTTTTTCTGTAGAAATGAATTGGGTTATATTTTATCGGCTTCGTTAACTAGCATTGAACCTTTTCAAAAGAAAGGCAGTTTTTATTCTCACATTTTGACCGCGCAATTTGTTAAAATCTTAATGGAAATTATAGTTTACATGACGACAGTTTTTGTTGGCATTTTTGTTTTTCTTTTCCTTCTTTCGGCTAAATTGGTTTCGGTCTATATTATATCAATTTAGTGGCTTCATTTTGCATTTGTCGACCAGCGAAAAATAATTTTCACGTGCCAGTGTATTTTGAAGTTGAGGGCTTGTTGTGCTTTTTTATTAGTATCTGAATTTGTTGTATTTTTTGGCTTCTTTGTTGTTTTTGTTTTTCTTTGTTTTTCGTCTTAAATGGTTTCTGCCAATTTTATATTGGCATAGTTGCCTCATATGTTTAATTTGACGATTGTTTGCTTTTGTGTGTTGAGGGCGAGGTGGATTTGCTACCTTTTTAAAAGTCTTAATTTTCGTTGTTCTTTTTCGGGCTTTGTTACAGGTATTTCCGGCTTTGTTACAGCTTGGTAAATTTTTTCCGTTGCTAATTTCACATTTTATTGCCTCGAAACATTTTGATAGATCGAGTTTTTTTGACATTTTCTATTTTTTTCTTGTTTTATATCGATCGCAAATGGTGCGTAGCGCAGCTTCTCCTCTGTGTCAGATTTTCCAGCGAAACACAAAAATTATTTAAACATTCAGTTTTTGCATAATGGATTAATATATCAAAAAGTGTACTTTTTTTTAGAAATTCAAAGAATTTTAAGGGCATCCATTTAAAAAAAAAATTCAAAAAAAAGCCAATAATTTTTCCGCTTAATAGCGTTTATTGACTATTTTCCAACTGTATGTTGGCTATGTTTGCAGATATAAGTATCTTTGGTGTCTTGGGAATTGCTAAAAAAAATCAAGTCGTCGAATTAAACATAGAACAGGTAGTTAAATTTAGAAAAGATAGAAAAAAAATAATCCGCTTTCTCTCTCATTGAATTGAGAAGTTACAGGAGCTAAGCTCAAACTTATTAATTAAGTCGTCAAAATTGTAATACAGCCAGGCATTGTTTATTGCGAATTTCAAATCTTTCATATAGTCAACTTAAAATTAGAATTGCTTACAAAAATTAGTATTGATTGTATCAACGAGGAATAGCAATATTGCGTGCGCGTATGGAAAGTGCGAGAATCAGTTGTTTACTATCATTGTTCCGACTTTTGAAGAAAATGCGGAACACTTATTCTTGGTTGGGTTTTTATTCATTCAACTTTCGATTTTATAATTAGCCAATTTTGAGGAAATTTTCTATACCATCTGAAAGATATTCAGATGCGATAACTTTTTGTTAAGCTATGGAAGTTTGAAAATTGCTAACGACGAACTTGGGACATTTAACAGGCAATATATTGCGTTCTTGTAATACGGGTAAGCGGCGGATTAATGCGATCTTAATTGAGTTGAGGCAATTCATTTGGTTGCTTTATTTTGACACAAGACGCTTAATACATGCCTTCATAATTTTAATTATCGTGTGTGGGATAAAAAGAAGAAAAAAATATTATTTTTTGTTTTGACGCATTTTTTCAATCAAAAAAACTTTTAAATCGACCTTAAAGTGCAGTCGAAACATTGAAGGCTTTGCCCTGATTTACAAGTAGTCTTGTTTTTTATTTACTGCGCTTAGATTCTCTTCGCTATGAAATTTTTTCTAGCTTTTTGCTTCATAAAAAAATTCAAGGTTTTGATCGATTACTTGATTTTAGAATTTTGATTGTATTGTTTTGATGAGAAAGTTGTTTGTTTTTGAAAATATTTCAGTAAGTTGTAAAATTGATTTCAGCAAAATGTTAATTTTGGTAAAATAAATGACATAAATAACAAAATTTTGCAGCGTTGGGGGTCTTCAAATGATACAGATGCGTTCATTTGCGTTTTAATGCTTAAAAACCTACCAAAAATTTTTGTGATATCAAATTGAATTTTCACTCCATTGATGAGAGATAGTTATATAAATGACTGATAACACACATTTCAATTTTTAAGCTTCAAGTGATGCAGACAGCGTTCAATTCGGTTTTAATGCTTAACAAGACTGCTCGTATATCAGGGCAAAGCCTTGAAAATTCTGACTGCCCCTTAGCCATATCGATTCGTTTTTGGTAAAAGGAAATATTGAAAACTGTCAATTTTGGACAATATCAAAGATCAAGTGTAAAATTTCAAGTTATCAAATTATTACGACCGATTAGCTTAGCTGGCCTAAATTCAATTGGAACAATTTTTTGTTCGGGCAAACTGTCACGCATCAGTAGTTTGCGTTACATTTTCTGCATTATGAATAAAATATTCAAAGCGCACATTCGTAGTCCAGAGCATGGCCAAAATGGCAATTTTTAAACTCCCAGAACTTTACAAAAATTGATCGGAGGTAAAATGACTTTTTAAGTTTTATTGCAGTGATTTGATATTTTTAATGGTGTAATAAATTGCTTATTTAAAAAACTATTATTTCGATCGCCAAAAATTGACTGAAAAAAACACACTAAGCATAAATATTCCACTTTCTTTGAAAGTCGTAACAAAAAAGCTACCGAGCAGTTTTGTGATATCAACTTGAATATTGACCCCATTGACTCCCTGTATGTTCTGCGGTTTTCTGCAATACTTGTTCTGCAGGTTTGTTTGAAATTCGTTCGATAAGGTACTTTTACAATTAAATTCAGAAATGTTTTCATAGATTTTTGAATCTCAGGAAAGATCTTTTACAAAAAAAATGAAGATAGGTTTAAGATAGAGAACCAGTATATTACAATTAACGGTAATGGCCGGATGTTATGTCAGGTCGAACAGGTAGCAGTTTACGCTTAACGTCTTGAGTTTCCTTGAAGAAAATCATGATTGGGTCGTGGATATTGGGTATTTTGGGTGCAGGGTAAGTGACGGCTAGTAGAATGAGCACGAATTGAAGTACATTGGAAATTTTAATCTTGAATAATAGTGACTTTGATTCCCGACATAAAAGCCTTAAAATTTGTTCTCGCTTAAATTTCAATTTTCACTTAAGTCTTCTCAAGTTAAGCTATTTTTATCAAAAAGGTGTCAATCATAATTTATTTTTGAAATTCAAAGAGCTTTAAGACCATATAGTATTTATTTTGAAGTTAAAAAAACACGTCAGTTTTTTTCTGTTTCCCTTGCGTTCATTGCCTTTTTTCCAACTGGCTGTTGGCTATATTCAAAACATTTCAAGGTTCTTTTTTTTGCTTTAAAACTGTTCAAAAATAAGACTTTACAAACTAGCTGATGGCTGTGTTAATAAAGTTTCTTATTGTTGGAAATATCAAATTGCGGTAGAAAAAAGTGGTCCAAAAGTGCCATATTTGGCGCCGATTTTGACCTTTTTGTCCTTCTTTTCTTTTCTGAGAGCAAGTGTTCTTGGCTTAAATTTAGTTGTGGTAACATTTTTGTTTTCGTCGAAGTGCCGGCCCCAGTAAAAAAATTCTGAGCGCTTTTTAACGCTTATGAAGGTGATTCAATTCGTTCTCTCCCAAATGTACATCAGGAAGACGAACGTAAATAGTTTTTTTTGACTTGTTCGCTTCCTTTTCCTGTTCTATCCACTTGCTTGCTAAGATATGTTAATCCACTTGCTTGCTAAGATATGTTAGTCTGTATTGCAAGTTTCTGCGCGTTCGCTTGATGATTTATATTAATAGTGAAATATTTAGGCGTACACTGTGGCTAGCAGCATCGATGCTGGAACTGTATGGATTAACTGCTACAATGCAGGAGAAGCAAACACACCCTTTGGTGGTTTCAAGATGTCCGGAATAGGACGAGAATACGGAGAAGAGTCTCTGAACAATTACTTGGAAACAAAAACTGTCATTTTGAAAGTGCCCCAGAAGATTAACTGAGTTGCACGTGGACACGTATCATTGAAACTTTATCCAAATAGTGAAACTCAAACTATATGACATATTGATTTAAAGCAGAAAAAGGTGTGTGCTACCTTTGAAATGTATCATGATGGAATCATTCTTAATTGCTATGAAGAATCAGCTCTTTACGTTTCTTCTTCGATAGTCAGGATAATCATCTGTTTAAGGGTGGTCACGGAGAAGGCTAATAAATCTATACGCGACTTTCAATGAGTTTTGAGAAGCATCATTACGTTAAGGTAGGCATAATTTAAGCGGCAAATTTCTCACATTGATTGAATGTGTTGCCTACGAATTGAGATTTTAAAGATCGACTCGAGTCTCGAGTAGCAGCAAAAACTTTTGTCTAGGTCCTTTCGGATTTTAATTGAGAAATCGGTGACGTACTGTGATCTCTGCTCGTTGCCTGAGATCAAAGCAGGCAATCACAGCCGAAAAAAAACGTACCACCATCCAAAAAGTCATTTCGGCACTATTTGAGGGCAATCAATTCACGTCGACTAATCCAATCTTAAATAGTAAATTTTGATTGCAGTACACTCTCTGAAAAACTTCAATTTTGTTACTATTGGGACCAGATTTATTTGCAAAGGAATAATGTGGGCGAATTTGTTGGTGCGTAACGTGAGAGATTGATGTCTTACCTTATCATCGTAAGTTTATAGATCTGATTACAAATTTTTTTTAACTCTTTGGAATGAATGGTTGAACTTCAGAGGTGAACCGCATCCCTTTCACCAACATGAATTCATTTCAAAAATGAAAGTTTCATTTTTGAAATGAATTCATGTTAGTGAAAGGGATGTGGTTCACCTCTGAGTCAATTTTTCTAAAATGCCCAAAAAGGATATCTGGCACATTTTCCCAAAAGTGTACGTGAAGTCATGTTTCGGTGAAGTTTTTTTTCCAGTCGATGAATGAAGGAACACGCTCAAAATTTGTTCTGGCTAAAATTAGCCTTATCGCTGTTTGGCTTTCGATTTCGCTTGCACTATACTTTTTTCCGTAAATACTAGACTTTTTCCAAAAACTTTGTTCACCGGACTCATCTGTAGTGTAGTTCTGGACTCATCTCTATTGGTACCTTGTTTCATAACAATTTATAATTCTTAGCGTTCCCGGCCAACTTAGCCTGGAAGTAACAAATTCGCCTGGTACGGCAAAGTACCTGGGTTGGAATCTGACCAGACATTGTTTTTTTTTTCAAACGGGAAATTTTCCATTTCAAAAAAAATATCGGCCTATTATATGTCTGCTTATGTTTTGTCGACTTAGTTGCCAAATCGTTGAGTTTTTTTTTTGCTATGCGCAATTTACATTGCAGTTGCTTTTAGTGTGTTAATTTATTTCTGCTGGCTGTTTGTAATTTCTTGATTTGTATCATTTTTTGGCTGAATTTTTTTTCTGTAGAAATGAATTGGGTTATATTTTATCGGCTTCGTTAACTAGCATTGAGTCTTTTCAAAAGAAAGGCAGTTTTTATTCTCACATTTTGACCGCGCAATTTGTTAAAATCTTAATGGAAATTATAGTTTACATGACGACAGTTTTTGTTGGCATTTTTGTTTTTCTTTTCCTTCTTTCGGCTAAATTGGTTTCGGTCTATATTATATCAATTTAGTGGCTTCATTTTGCATTTGTCGACCAGCGAAAAATAATTTTCACGTGCCAGTGTATTTTGAAGTTGAGGGCTTGTTGTGCTTTTTTATTAGTATCTGAATTTGTTGTATTTTTTGGCTTCTTTGTTGTTTTTGTTTTTCTTTGTTTTTCGTCTTAAATGGTTTCTGCCAATTTTATATTGGCATAGTTGCCTCATATGTTTAATTTGACGATTGTTTGCTTTTGTGTGTTGAGGGCGAGGTGGATTTGCTACCTTTTTAAAAGTCTTAATTTTCGTTGTTCTTTTTCGGGCTTTGTTACAGGTATTTCCGGCTTTGTTACAGCTTGGTAAATTTTTTCCGTTGCTAATTTCACATTTTATTGCCTCGAAACATTTTGATAGATCGAGTTTTTTTGACATTTTCTATTTTTTTCTTGTTTTATATCGATCGCAAATGGTGCGTAGCGCAGCTTCTCCTCTGTGTCAGATTTTCCAGCGAAACACAAAAATTATTTAAACATTCAGTTTTTGCATAATGGATTAATATATCAAAAAGTGTACTTTTTTTTAGAAATTCAAAGAATTTTAAGGGCATCCATTTAAAAAAAAAATTCAAAAAAAAGCCAATAATTTTTCCGCTTAATAGCGTTTATTGACTATTTTCCAACTGTATGTTGGCTATGTTTGCAGATATAAGTATCTTTGGTGTCTTGGGAATTGCTAAAAAAAATCAAGTCGTCGAATTAAACATAGAACAGGTAGTTAAATTTAGAAAAGATAGAAAAAAAAATAATCCGCTTTCTCTCTCATTGAATTGAGAAGTTACAGGAGCTAAGCTCAAACTTATTAATTAAGTCGTCAAAATTGTAATACAGCCAGGCATTGTTTATTGCGAATTTCAAATCTTTCATATAGTCAACTTAAAATTAGAATTGCTTACAAAAATTAGTATTGATTGTATCAACGAGGAATAGCATTATTGCGTGCGCGTATGGAAAGTGCGAGAATCAGTTGTTTACTATCATTGTTCCGACTTTTGAAGAAAATGCGGAACACTTATTCTTGGTTGGGTTTTTATTCATTCAACTTTCGATTTTATAATTAGCCAATTTTGAGGAAATTTTCTATACCATCTGAAAGATATTCAGATGCGATAACTTTTTGTTAAGCTATGGAAGTTTGAAAATTGCTAACGACGAACTTGGGACATTTAACAGGCAATATATTGCGTTCTTGTAATACGGGTAAGCGGCGGATTAATGCGATCTTAATTGAGTTGAGGCAATTCATTTGGTTGCTTTATTTTGACACAAGACGCTTAATACATGCCTTCATAATTTTAATTATCGTGTGTGGGATAAAATGAAGAAAAAAATATTATTTTTTGTTTTGACGCATTTTTTCAATCAAAAAAACTTTTAAATCGACCTTAAAGTGCAGTCGAAACATTGAAGGCTTTGCCCTGATTTACAAGTAGTCTTGTTTTTTATTTACTGCGCTTAGATTCTCTTCGCTATGAAATTTTTTCTAGCTTTTTGCTTCATAAAAAAATTCAAGGTTTTGATCGATTACTTGATTTTAGAATTTTGATTGTATTGTTTTGATGAGAAAGTTGTTTGTTTTTGAAAATATTTCAGTAAGTTGTAAAATTGATTTCAGCAAAATGTTAATTTTGGTAAAATAAATGACATAAATAACAAAATTTTGCAGCGTTGGGGGTCTTCAAATGATACAGATGCGTTCATTTGCGTTTTAATGCTTAAAAACCTACCAAAAATTTTTGTGATATCAAATTGAATTTTCACTCCATTGATGAGAGATAGTTATATAAATGACTGATAACACACATTTCAATTTTTAAGCTTCAAGTGATGCAGACAGCGTTCAATTCGGTTTTAATGCTTAACAAGACTGCTCGTATATCAGGGCAAAGCCTTGAAAATTCTGACTGCCCCTTAGCCATATCGATTCGTTTTTGGTAAAAGGAAATATTGAAAACTGTCAATTTTGGACAATATCAAAGATCAAGTGTAAAATTTCAAGTTATCAAATTATTACGACCGATTAGCTTAGCTGGCCTAAATTCAATTGGAACAATTTTTTGTTCGGGCAAACTGTCACGCATCAGTAGTTTGCGTTACATTTTCTGCATTATGAATAAAATATTCAAAGCGCACATTCGTAGTCCAGAGCATGGCCAAAATGGCAATTTTTAAACTCCCAGAACTTTACAAAAATTGATCGGAGGTAAAATGACTTTTTAAGTTTTATTGCAGTGATTTGATATTTTTAATGGTGTAATAAATTGCTTATTTAAAAAACTATTTTTTCGATCGCCAAAAATTGACTGAAAAAAAAACACACTAAGCATAAATATTCCACTTTCTTTGAAAGTCGTAACAAAAAAGCTACCGAGCAGTTTTGTGATATCAACTTGAATATTGACCCCATTGACTCCCTGTATGTTCTGCGGTTTTCTGCAATACTTGTTCTGCAGGTTTGTTTGAAATTCGTTCGATAAGGTACTTTTACAATTAAATTCAGAAATGTTTTCATAGATTTTTGAATCTCAGGAAAGATCTTTTACAAAAAAAATGAAGATAGGTTTAAGATAGAGAACCAGTATATTACAATTAACGGTAATGGCCGGATGTTATGTCAGGTCGAACAGGTAGCAGTTTACGCTTAACGTCTTGAGTTTCCTTGAAGAAAATCATGATTGGGTCGTGGATATTGGGTATTTTGGGTGCAGGGTAAGTGACGGCTAGTAGAATGAGCACGAATTGAAGTACATTGGAAATTTTAATCTTGAATAATAGTGACTTTGATTCCCGACATTTGAGCAACCGACGCAAAAGCACAGTCTAGAAATGTCACAAAACTCATAAGAGCTTTTTTCCGTATTTTTTTTTTTCAGTTCCAGTTCCAGTGAAAGGCCAGTGAAATCAAAACTTGCAAGAGTAATTCAAAACACTGAAACCAACTATATTCAGAATTGTTTACTCAAGAAATCAACCTCATGATGTGGCAACTAAGCAGACAAACTATATAAATATTCCAGTTTGATAGCGCTTGCTAATCGCAAGCGTAAAAAGATTAATAAAACTGACGTGCAATTTTGTGTATTTGGATTTCATGTAAGCATAATTTTTGGAGTTTTGACTTTTACGCACGAAGCGGCCCAAAATCAAAAATTCTTGATCTTGAGCTGAATTTTGCCGTCGAACCGATTTGCTAAATCCAAAATCAGGCAAAATTGTCAAGCATTTCAAAGAATTTTTTAGCAGACAAAAATTTTAGCCGAAATTAATGAAAATGTAGAACTTTGCCAAATAAGCAAAGTAATTTCAATTAAAACTCGACCAAACAAGAAAAATTGAATAAAGTGAATCAACATAAAAAAATGCTATGTGGGTTAATTTTGTGGACCATGTAGTTTGACTTTCTTTGGTTTTCATGAATTTTACTTGAAGTTGTAGAAAAACTTATTTTGGCCGTTATGCGCATAAGACCCGGAGTTTCATGCAAATCC